ACTTTGTGTTCAAAAAAAAAAAAACAAAAAAAAAAAACAAAAACAACAAAAACAAAAACAAAAAAGAAAAAAAAAAGAATTCATGTTTGGGGATCGATCATAGTGGGGGATAACGTTTATGGACGTTACATTCGAAGGTGAAGAGGCAAATCTAGAAATAAAGGGCATTGGTTTCGGTTCGGTGAACGGAGGAGTCTATTATTGCCATCGTGCTTGTCTAGGGTGAGTCTGATTTTCTTTCTCCGATTCTCATCTATCCTTCACCCCAGCCTAAGGTTACAAGCCGAGTAAAGTCCTCTTGATCTCCATGACATTTGACCTACATTAGTGGAGATGAGTCAGACGGGTGAGCCTATGGTCGTTCTGTTTTAATGTTTATCTTGCGATTTGTCTTGATACACATGAGTCACATTTGTGTTTAGGTCTTGTAGAGATGATTTGCACACACTTACACGGAGATGACAGTGTTAGAAGTTGAGTATTGAAGGTTGAAATTCTAGTCCTTTTCCAGATTCACATGTTGGGTGGGTGCAGAGGTGTTTGGTAACTTGAGATTATATGCCTGAGCTCTATGTTTACACTCTCAGTCGGTTCATTTCAATTTCTTTTCTTTTGTTTTTAGTTTGTTATTTTAGGTTGTGTCATTTTGTGTTCTTTTGTCCATTTCCCTTTGTGTGTTTTGTTTTATATTAGGTTTTTCTGCTTGAGGACAAGCAGCCGTTCAAGTTTGGGGGTGTGATGAGTGCGTAATTTATGCACTCATTCGTTACTCCTTTAGCTAGTTTTGGCGTGTTTTTCCTCAAGTTATTATATGGATTTGATGACTTTCCCTTAAGTGTGTAGGAAAGGGTGAAATCGCTAAATTTTGAGGCATTTTGGATCAAAAAGACAGAGAACGAGGCGATATGGCGCCTTCAGATGGCGATGCGACTCGAAAAGGAGCAAAATCGAGCAAACCTGTGCGAAGGACCAGAGAGGGATGCGATATGTTGCCTCCTTTGTGGAGATATGTCGCCTCCTTTAGGCGATATGTCGACTATTCTAGGGGATATGTCGCCTGATTTACCTGACTTTATTAGAAACACGCGTTTTGCCCTAGTTTGGTGCAGGGACTTTTATGGAAAGTGAGAATTAGCTTCTTGGGGATGTGTTGGATGTAGAATATAAGGAGGAGAGGCCGAAAACTGAAGAAAAGGAGGAGAAAAAGGGTTTGCAAAAGAAGAAAAACTGAATCGGAGAGGATTCGAGGGAAATTCCAGCGATTCTTCAAGAATTCCAAGCGTTCTTCATTCTCTTCTTATCTTTCTTCTTGTATTTTTCTGAGTTTTGAATATTATTTTGAGATTGTGAACCACATGATATGTGGCTAATTTTCTTATTTGTTAGGGTTTAGATGAATCTCTATTTGTGATTATTGTTTCGACGTTTTAATGTGCATTTAATTAAAGCTCTTCGTTTCTTTCGTGTTCTATTTTGAATTATTGCTGCTAAATCTATGATTTACATATTGCCATGCTTTATGAGATTTTGAATTGGGCAGATTTTTATTGTGAGGATTAATACTCGAGAGGGGAATGTTCAAGCAATCAAGAAACGGATAGAACAACTTAGGTTGGTGTGAGATCGAGAGACAAACATTGCCTAGGTAACCGAAACAATTTTAGGCTGTGAAATTGAGAAGTGGAATTCCAGGAATTGTTTCTAGAGTGGAACTTAATGAAGGTAGGGATGAATAGTTGTATAGAGCTATAGGCTTGATATCACCTACACATTCTTTATACGGCACTCGAGAGAGGGTATAAGGATATACATCACTCGAGGTTCTTGAGAATGTTGAGTTAGGTTAGGCACATTACTACGGAGAAACATAATCGCAATAGAGTGAAGTCAAGACCTTAGCATTTTTATCATATTGATTTTCCGTTCTAATTTCAGCACGTATTATTAATTACTGTCATTTTTCCTTTATTTTAGTTTTTCTTTAAGTTTATCACATCCAAATTTGATCGCTTAGATAAAGTTAAGATATGATATTCACAATAGTTAGTTTATATTCTTAACGTCAATCCTCGTGGGATGATATCGGCCTTCGGACCACTTTATTACTTGTACGACTTGTGCATTTCCAAGCGTAGTCAAAATTATATTGCAACAACAATGGAAAGTGCTATATGTTGGCCAGCATGAGCGATGTGCTTTGTAAGAAGCGTGAAGAGATGGAGACCGCTTATGAGATAATGGAGTCTTTAGAAACCATGTTTGGTGCTCCTTCAGAGAAGGCTCGTTTAGACGCTGTCATGGCTTTCATGAACGACAAGATGAAGAAAGGTGTTTCAGTCAAGGCACATGTTTTGAACATGATTGATCACCTCCATGAGGTAGAACTCAATGGTGCCAGGATCGATGAAGCCATCCAAGTTGGCATCATCTTGGAGAGCCTATCTCTTGATTTTCATGAGTTCATAAACAACTATGTTGTGAACAAGAAAAGGCCTAACCTTATTAAACTCTTGAATGACCTGCAAAACTTTGAATCCACCAACAAAAGCAAGGGAGAAAAAGCAAACGTTGTTGTTGCAGGAGGATCTGGTAAAAATAAAAGGAAGAACTAGAACCAAGAAAAAGGGAAGAAAGGGAAGAACAAGAAGGCTAAAAGGAATAGCTCCGACCAAAAGCCCAAAGGAAAGTGTTTCCACTGTAATGGAGAAGGGCAATGGAAGAGAAAATGCAAGAAGTATCTAGAGGAGCTAAAGAAGAAAAAGGGACAAGGTAAATCAGATTTACTAGTTCTTGAAATATGTTTAGTAGAAGGTGATACCTCGACCTGGATAATTGATTCGGGAGTGACTAATCATGTTTATTTTTCTTTGCAGAGTCTTAGTTCTTACACTAAGCTAGCCAATGGGGGCTACACGATGAAAGTGGGCAATGACGCAAGAGTTTCAGCAAAAGCAGTGAGAGAAGTTAGACTTCGTTTTAGGAAAAATAAATTTTTAGTTTTGAACAATGTTTATTTTATTCCATACATTCGTAGAAATTTCATTGTTGTAGCTAAGTTATTCGAAAAATTATTTAAAGTTTATTTTGATAATGAATTTGTTCATATTTCTCGAAATGGTTTAAATATTTGTTCTAGACGTCTGGATGATGGTTTATATTGTATAAAACCAATACCTAACTCATTGCTTAATACTGAAATGTTTAAAGTTGCCGAACCACAAGTTTCCCTTTTAACTCAAGTTTATAAACTCGAACTCAAGTTAATGAACAATATTTTTTCTATTCTTAAAAATGTCATAATTTTTTCGTTTTAATTCTAATTGAGATGATTTTTTTTCTATGCATTCACAATGAAAGACAAATAAAACGCCACCCATATACCCTATTAAATTTTTTTTATCACCATTGAGTTTTTATTTAAATACTATCTAAATACAAATTTAAGTTTTGACCTACCCAAACATAAACTCAAATAGATTCTCAATTCAAATCATAACTTAAATGTGCACATCCAAACACAAACTCAAGTTACAACTTCAACTCAAGTTATAACTCAAACTCAACTCAAAATCATAACTCAAGTCACCCTAACTAAAAAATATAAAAGAACAACCCTTATATATTTTTTGTCCTTTGAAGTTGTCATTGTTTTATAATCCTTGTCGTTTTTAAAATGTATCTCGTTTTTAAAAGTTTCCTGCCAAAAATATATAGTCCTATTTGGTTCATTGGTTTGAAATTTGTAGATTTAAAATTTTTTATTTAAACAAAAAAATTTAAATTGTGTGGTTTAAAATGTAGTTTGAATTGAAATTTAGATCTGTAGTTAAAATTTTAATTTGAACAGAGAATAAAATTTAAATTTATGTTTGGTAGATGTGAAAAGTAGATAGTTGAAACCTTTTTACTGTTTAAAAATAGTTTGAAGAACTTGACGAGGAGCTAAACTCTAAGTTGGACAATTTAACAGTTCAAACATGGAATAAAATTTAGACTGTGTGCTTATCAAACACGATTTTAAACCGTATTGACTGTTCGAACTAAGTTGAACTGAGCTAAATTGGTGAAACAAATGAGAGCATAGGTTCCTAAGCAATCACTTAGTGGAAAAGGAAGTGATTGAGCAATGACAATCAGGAGGTGGGCTTGGAAGCTAGTATCGGTTTCAATATTCTAAAATGTCTTAGATTCATAGACCCAATTGAATTCAGCAGTACCTTTCATTCACATTTGTTTTCCCATCAAGAACGTTTTATAAAACTCTTGGACTCTTTTCTATGAATTTTAAGAACTTTTTTTCATAAAATCTCGCAAACTAAGTAGTTTATATTACAACACATAATGAAAAAGACAATATGCAGGATAGGTATAAGAAATTGTGACGTAGCTTTGTTGTTTTAGAATGTTTTGAAGTCGTATCATTTCAAAAAGGAAATACTATGGCTTCATTTATTTTACCAATTTGAGTTTTCAATTTTAGGTTTCTATAGTTAAAAAATTTCAAAAAATGTCACATCTAACTTTTTCTGCTACAGTTAAAAGCTTTAAGAAAATGTCACATTTTAACTCGAATCCGCGAAGCAAACAAGGCCTAAAGCTACATAGTATGAAAGATCTTTCTCTTTTGGGTTTTTAACACATTTACCCGTCAAATTTGTTGTGATTTAGCAAATTGCTGTTCAAACTTTTAATTTTGATAAGTTGCCTCTTTAATTGGTAAAGTTGTTATAATATGCCTTATTTTGACGATAATTGTATTAAATTAATGTAAAAAAAGCACATTCAATTAAAATTTTTAACACTCCAATTCAAATGTAATACAACTCTTTTAATATATCAAATTTTAATCCCTTAAATCTAATGAAAAATTTGAATAAATTTAATTAAATTGGGCATATTATAACAAATTTATAAGTATGAGGTTAACTTATCAAAATGAAAAGTTTACGGGCAATTTGTTAAACAAGTGCCAAAACTCCTTTTCTCTTTCCTCTCACATTTTCTCACCGCCTCCCCTTCTCTTTCTTATTCTCAGTTCTCTCAACTGAAAAATGCTAGCAGCAATTCTGAAAGAAAGTCATATCTTCTTCGGAGTTCAGACCAAAATCTTCTTCATATTAAGTTGAACTGTTGAAGATTCGAACTGCTGTAAGAGTTATTTCTTTTCCTTTTTTTTTTTCTTTTTCCAGATTCGAAGTTCGAACAGATGCTCTTTTATGTTTTATTTTTTATTTTTTATTTATTTTTCACTGTTAAGTTGAAATTGATTTTCCCTAAGCAGAGACTCAGAAACTATCTCTTTTGTTCTCTTTTTTTAGTTTGACTTAGGGTTTTCTTCTTGATAGGCACTAAGTAGAAGCACTTGTTCATTTGCTGTTTACTTCAGATCTGAAAGAGTGAAAGGTTAGTGAATTTGTCCCTTGATTTTCGAAAAAATGACCTGCTCTGTGAATCTTCTTCATGCAGTGTTCTGTTCCTATGTTTCTTTGGGTTTTCTTGATATTTTTGTTTTTTCTGGGTATGATGTTTTCTGTTGTTTTCTTTCCGGGTATGAACAATGATGTGTTCATTTCATACGTTTTTTTTTTTTTTTTTCCTTTTTTTTATCATTATATTTTTGTTCGTATGTTTGTGAGTTCTGAATCTTTGATAATGTTTAGAAGATGTAAATATATTCTTATTTTTCTGTTTGCTTAATTTAACTGAATCAGTGAAGTGACTGTATTTTTTTGGGCTGGGCTTTATAAAGTTTAAGTAGGAATATAGGACACTAAATATAAATAATCAGAAAATATTTCATATATATTACAGAGTTTTTAAATAAAATTAAAAAACTTAACTTAAAAATAGTATATATATACATATAAATGATATATATATATATAATAGGTTTCGGATTCACGGATTTTAGTGCTCAATCCGCAATCTAGTCTAAAACCTAAACTTTTTTCATTTCAATCCAAAACATTAGATTGGATTGGATTGACAGATTCCTCGAACACCTTTAGTATCAGCTAAAAGGTCTCTGTGTAAATCATGTTCCAGTTTGGCTCTGGATTTTCCTAACATAAAGAACATGATTCTAAGTGAAAGACAACACTTCCAAAATCCATTTGCTCCATAAAAATATATATATTATATAGGAGAAATGAGGTTGAGGAAAATGGCTTTTGTAGAGCTCTTTAAACAACAAAAGTCCAAATCTTGAAAGTTTAGAGATGAACATAATCTTGGCTCCTCACTAAATACCTAATTTGATGTGGAATAATTCAAATATAAAAAATTGAAGCTTTTTTTTTTTTTTTTTGTAATTATTATTTTTGCTTTCCAAATAGACAGAGATAAAAAAAAAAGAAAAAAGGAATGTTCAAAAATCAATACTTTTCGACTGTTTCTTAATATCCCAAGGTTCTCTACCGAAGTAATCGACATAGGAAAATTAAAGAAACGAACAGGAAAATGAAATAAGGAAGAGATCATGAGAAAGGGGCGAACTTTGTTCTTGTTGTACGACTGAATGAGCAGCAAGGGGAGCTTAGAATCTAATGAAGATTTTACTAGCGATGAACAATTCAATAGAAAAATATGAGGCGCGAAGCTTCTAGTCGAGATTATATTATATAATTACTTAAAAGTAATCACTCATTGCCGTTTTAGGTTTTGCTTTAGGGTTCGTTTGGTATGAGGGTTCAAATTAGGGTGGCTTGAGTCTTTGGGTGTTTTGAACTGTAAGGTTTGAACCTAGGTTCAAACTACAAGAACCCAAGGGCGTTGATTCTGAAACCCTTTGTTTCTGATGGTGTAAATGTCACATTAAGGATTCAAACCACACTTTACTTTTCGCAAAAAAAATACTGGTTTGTTCAAACCACTTGAACCAGAACCTTAAGTTCAAACCACTTGAACCCTCATATCAAACAGACCCATAGAGTTTGGAGTTCGGCCTTTTGTCTTAGATCCTTTTCCTGTAAGTGACAGTGAAATTTATGAATGATATTAATTGTGAAAAGAGACAAATAACTAGGAACGATAGAGAAGTAGTCTGCCATAAGCTCACGACTAATCTCTTCTGCCGAATCATTTGGGCACTGCTACGCCATGGAGTTTTGAGTTTTTTATTGTAAAATATATATTTGATTTTCTAGTTTACCCTTGAGGAGATGGGTGGTGCACAACGCGTGACATTTGGAGTACTTTATCATGTAAATTATTTTTCAACAGCGTAAATGAAAAAATTAGATTGGATTTCTTCATATTTTTAGATTTTTGTATTTTTAATATATTTAAAGCATTTTTTTAAATGTCTTAAAAATTATCATTTTTAATTAATTAATGAGAAGGGTAATTTTGACATTTTACATCTAAAAAGTCTTGAGGGTACAAAAATGATTTTAAAATGTCTAGGTAACTGTATGAAATTATAAAAAATGTAGGTTACCAAACACATATTTTGATATAACACATGCTACTAAAATGAAATTTTCCTAATTATAAAATACTAATTTGATATTTTTCCATTTCTAAAGATAATTATCAGGGTATTGTGATTAAGTTCCCTGTTAGTCGTGGGTCTGTGGATTACTAGTTGTTTATCGTTTCTAGTTAATTGTCTCTTTTCACTTTTTGATGTCGTCCATACAATTCAGTCGTTTTCAGAAAAAGGGTCTAAAGCATTAGTCCGACTCCGAACTCCAAACTGTAAAGCAAAGCATCAAACGACGACGAGGGATTGCGTTTAGTTATAGGAACAGTGGAAAAGTATAGATTTTTGAACATTCTCTTTTCTGGTTTTTCATTATTTCTCTTTGGGAAGAAGATAAAAAGGCTTCAAATTTTGATGTTAGACTTGTTTCAGGTCCAATTAGGGATTCAGTAAGGGCTACGATTATGTTAATGTCTAAACTTTCAAGAGTTGGGCTTTTGTTGTTTAAAGAGCTCTCTAGAGGTAATTCCCTCAAACCCACTTCTCCTTTTAACGCGTGCGCACACACACACACACATTTTGATGAAATAGATAGATTTTGGAAGTGTTGTTTTTTCACTTGGAAACTTCATGTTCTTCTTATGTTAGGGAAATCCAGAGCCATAACTGGAGCAGGATATACACAGACGCCTTTTAGCCAATACTTGCAAACGCTGGTTAGTTATCTTGTTTTTGCTTTTTCGGATTTGCCAAGAATATTTGTAATCTTATTTTTACGTCTTTGTATGTATATATATACATACATACATACATATATATATATATATATTATAGTCTTTTGGCTATTATTTCACTTTTATAGTTCATAGTTTTCTGTGCGAGTGATTATGAAGTGCTTGTATTACTATTTGAGCATTTGTGTTCTGATTATTGATGGCACTCGTATTGATTGTGGTGGCATTGGTTCTATGTCTTACTCTTCTATATAGGATGATGATAGATTAAAGAAAGAGAGAGAAGAAGATAATGAATTTAGGAAGAAGATAGAATAATGAAGAGGAAATCTGTATATTGAATAATAATCATCAAGGTCCAAAGTCAGAATACAAATACTAGGTCTATTTATAGATGCATAAAAACTAATATTAAGATAAATATAACAAATAACAAAATACGCTTAAATAAATCCTAAATTAATCCTAATAGATAAACACATATTTTAAATTCTGGATTATTCATTCCTTGTTCCTTGTTGCTGTTAGTCTAGTTTCCGTTGCTGTGTTCAAATTGAAATTTCCTATGGCTAGCATAATATTGGAATTTCGTAGAAATTGATGAGGAACACTTAGGAAATGATGTCAATTACTTATTTTGGAAAGCAGTTTGAGAATAGTTTAAAAAGTGATAGGATTATGTTTGTAATTAGTAATGAATTTAATTAGTGGTTAGTGGTTTGTTATTAGGGTTGGTTTGCTATGTTTGTTAAGCTAGTTAGTAGTAGTATATAAGGAAAAGAAAAGAGACTAAAGGGGGGGATTGATTAGAGTAAACTGGGGAAAACTCTTGGGAGAGCTAGCAGACCTCTCGAACGTCTGTCAATCTATCTTGTAATCGAGTCTAATTCTTGTTTTCAATAATAATCTTTTCTTTTCCTTATATACTACTACTAACTAGCTTAACAAACATAGCAAACCAACCCTAATAACAAACCACTAACCACTAATTATCTTCATTACTAATTACTAACATAATCCTATCATAAAACCACTAATTATATTCATTACTAATTACTAACATAATCCTATCATTATGATAGGATTATGTTAGTAATTAGTAATGAAGATAATTAGTGGTTAGTGGTTTGTTATTAGGGTTGGTTTGCTATGTTTGTTAAGCTAGTTAGTAGTAGTATATAAGGAAAAGAAAAGTGACTAAAGGGGGGGATTGATTAGAGTAAACTGGGGAAAACTCTTGGGAGAGCTAGTAGACTGATCGAACGTCTGTTAATCTATCTTGTAATCGGGTCTAATTCTTGTTTTCAATAATAATCTTTTCTTGGTTCTTATCAAATTGGTATCAAAGCAGTACTTTCTTGGGCGGAAAAAAAAAATGGCTGGAATGTGTGGACGCTGGCAGCGATTAGAAATGCCGATGTTCTCAGAAAAAGATCTGGATTTTTGGATCGTAAAAGTAGAAGAATATCATCTGAATAATCGATTTTCAGAATGTGAAAAGGTTTGGGTTGCAGAAGAATTCATGGAAGGTGAAGCACTCAAGTGGTTTCAGTGGGAGGACAGAAGACGACCATTTGTTTGTTGGAGTGCATTCAAGATGGATTTGCTTCAACGTTTCAGACCAACACAAAGATTGCTTTTGGAAACGAATATGAAGGTTTGGCCACTGAACGTACAAATGATTTCAGATCTTCATGTTTCTGGCGGTGGCTCGTCGCAACTAGATTTGGAACGTCAAAACTGACGAACGACCTTAGAGAAAATGCGAAGAGATCTGGAATCGTGTGAGGCCGGCGGCACTCCGAGCAATTTTTCACGATCTGGTGCGATATCGCTCAGATCTGAGTCAATCGGCATTAATCTGAGGGCGAATGATGATCGGAGACTGGGGAAGGAGGCGGATCTTCCCAGAGAAGAGGCTAGGTTTCAAACTTGGAGATGCTGGCCAGAATCATGGGGAATCGCACAAGGAAGGGCAGATTAGACGGCCGAAGGGGAAGGTGGCTGAACGCGAGGAGAACCCGCGCGGCGGAGGGGTCGATCTCGACCAGAATCGACCCAATCTGCGACGAGACCAGCAGATCGACGCCGATTGGGGCTTGGAAAGCCCAGATCTGCAACGAGGAGGGCTGATCGACGCCGGATTTGGCCTGGGTGGTGCTCAGGGTTGGCGGGAGTTACGATTTGACCATAATCTTTTGGATCCACGACCTGGAGGTTAGATCGGTGGGAAGCGGTGCCGTGGAGTGCAGATTGGCGGTGGGCTGGAGTTGAACTACGACCAGAGGCCGCGTGAAGGAGAAACGGTGGAAGGGGCGCTGACAGACGTGGAAAGGCAGAGAGGGGGGCAATTTGACGGTGGGCTGTAGATGAAGGGGGAGCGGCGGTCTCGCGCGGCGATGTTTGGGGCCGGGCTCACAATTTCCGGCGCGGCCAAGGCTGGGCTTGGCGATTTGGCTGCGGTTTGGATTGGAACACATGATTCTGGCGATGTTGAGGCTGTTTCCGGCCGGAATAGTAGGGACCCACTCAATTCCGGTGATATTATGGTTAGGACGAGGAAGTTTGGCTCAAAACCTTTAGTCGGTGGGGCTGAGTATCAAAATTCCAGCCAAATGAGGGTTGGGTCACATGTTTCTGGTGTGGGCAGGTCCGATTCTTGCGTGATTGGGTCTGTGCTGCGTAATTCCAACATTATTGGGCCTACTTCTGGCTCAATAGGGGTTAGGCCTAAAAATTTCAGGAAAAGTGGGACCAATTTCAGCAAGATATGTAATGGGTCCTCAAATTTTGGCCCAAAGTGGACTGGGTCTGGGAATTCCAGCACTCCTGGGGCTGGGGATGGAGAAATTGATTTCATTGGAGTAGGATTTGGACACTCTGCAAATGGAAGATCTTATATTTCCGAGTTTGTAACTCCAAAAAACAAAATTTTTATGTTTTGTGGACTAAACAATGGCTCCAATGGGTTTTCTGCTCTCAATTACACTTCCGTGGCACCTTGGTTTGTCACTGTTGAAGTTGGCTTTTCAAGAATTGCGATGCCGTTTAACATTTTGAAAGGTGGGCTTGACAACATGGGAAGGAGATGGCATCATTCCACTGTGGTCACTTGACCACACCTTGAGGACAAGGTGTCTTGGGGAGGGGAGTAATGATAGGATTATGTTAGTAATTAGTAATGAATATAATTAGTGGTTAGTGGTTTGTTATTAGGGTTGGTTTGCTATGTTTGT